ATTTGACTTTGATACAAATGATTATTCTAAATCTTATGTTTCTATAAAAATATACTGTGCTTTAAAAATATGGATGATAGTATCAGCTGCTCTTTCAGCCATTTCAAAAGCAACAGTTTGTTTAGAAATAAATTATGCAGTTTATGCCATAAAATTCAAATATACATCAAAGAAAAATTCTCAGTTTTAGACAGTTCGATTTAAACGAAGTAAAGTAGCGGATGATAAAACAACGAAGGTAAAAATTTACTCTTATTTTTTTTAAAAAAAGGAAGATAGAGAGATATTTAAAAAAATGGTTAAAAATTTGAATAATATCATCTATTATTTAAAAAAATAATATAGTATTAATAAATATTTATTACGCATCATTGAGAGGAAAAATTTCATATAATTAATTCTCCATAAAATTTTACTTGAAATTTAAGGTTAAAAATAGCTGTGGCAATTCACTGTAACAAAAATCCATAGACCACATTTGGCGTTATTATCGCTCATAAAAAAAGATGCCATATTTCAAAACGCGAAAATATGTAAATTCGTGTATATCTTAGAAAATTTTGAATAAAAAAGTCTAATTTTTTTGCAAATATGCTTAAAAATACACCTACTTTAAGATGATGGTAAAACTTTTATAGGTTATAATTAAAAAATTTTTTCGAAAAATTTATAAAAATTATTTAAAAATAGAAATTTAAAAATAAAACACAAAAAATGGGTAAATTTTATTTGGAATGATTCTAAATTTCGAAATGTGAAAGGAAAAATAATAAAAGTTTAATAAAAAAAGATATATTAATAAATATTTACCAAATTCAATTAACATTGAGGAGCTAAAATTTTAAAATCTACTCGTACGATTTTTAAAAACTTGGTATTCTGGCATTTTGAGGTAGAATCGTATAAGAATATTGATACATTCAGAAAAAGTGAGTGTCAAAATAAAGAATAATATATAAATCTAATACAGTCAAAAGTCGTTAATCCGGACTCGTCGGGACTTCGGCGATTCCGGATTATCGATTTTTCCGGATTATAGATCATCAGTTTAAATCTCGTAAGATGGCATGCAGAAATTCTAAAATTAAAAATATGAAACCGTAATTTATGAAATAAAGAACAATTATGATCTAAAGGGTATCAAAATTTGCAAAAAGAAAAAGCTTAATATTTATTTGTTTACTTTATTAAACATTTCTTTCAATGTAAGTTGTTTAAGTTTTGCTTCGTTTCATGTGATAATACTTTCTCTTTAATTCTATTAAACAGACATAATTTCTTGTTCAGTTACAAAGTTCCGCCGTTCAAGTCCTATAATTGCTGTGTCAAGAACACCGACTAATTTGTCAATCGAAATTTTTTCGTTTTCAATAACCTCTGTCACTTTTTTCTTCGCTATCGGAAGCGAATTATAATGACGAGGAACTTGTTTTAAATCATATCAAAGACGGAGCATATCGAGATGAAATACTACATTTGGTAAGGAATTATAAGCCAAATAAAATAAAAACATCTGCGCTGAAGATAAGGATAGTGCTGACAAATCAACTTCCAATTCATTAGGCGCCCGCCGCCGAGCAGCGTGAAATTGATAAACAGATTTCGGATTTCAAAACATACTTTCGCTTTAGATCCTTTACATATTAACAAATATATATCGGAAATTCTATTTGATATAATCGAAAGTTTAAGCTTACTTTTATAAAATTGCTCTTACAGTCTGCAAAAAATAATAAGCCGGATCCAATTCGAAAATTAAGGAACAACGCAATCATCAACATTAACTGAAATAGATAATTAGATAATTTTAGCTTATACGTCCATTATACATAAAATGCGCACGCGAAAACGTATTCTGCACTTGCGCACACTCATATGCACAGTCGTAAAAGGTCTTACGCGCACGCGTGAACGCCTCTGCGCATGTGTCAACGTGGCGCATGCGCAGAAAGTTTTTAGTTTTGATGTCCGGATTATAGATCATTCCGAATTATGGGTGTCCGAATTAACGACTTTTGACTGTATATATCCTAAGTCGCACTTTCGAGACATGAAAAACGCAGTTTGAATTTTGTCAATCGGCCCAGTAGAACGGGAGATATAGCACTGTCCCATTTTTTTATTTTTTTTTTTTTAGCAGTGTACATAGTTTGAATAACTTTGTCATTGTGCATAGTTTGGATGGCCTTGTCATTGTACATAGACTGGTGGTGTACCCACACAAAAGACCACTCAGTTGCTTTTTGCAAACGTTATTTTGTTTACATTCTTTCCCTTGAACGGACCTACATGCTTTATTCACCCTAAACAGGATCTGAGAACAATAACATTCTTTCCCCTTTCAAATCAGCATTCTCATCATTTTGAATACCGTAATTTCCTGAAGAAAGGCAGCATCAGCGTAAACGCCGCACTCGAGAAAAATGGCGGGAAAAAAATTAAAATTACACAGAAACGCCGCAATAGATTAAATTGCGCGTGACATCGTCGTAGGCTGTATAGATGCAAAAACTCAACCTAAGTCCTGATATATGACATACCAGTTAAGAAAAATGCATGAAATGAAACCATAACTCAAAAATAAATTAAAGGTAAGAAATGTATAGCTTCTGTGCCGTTTAGAGACATTTTCAAAAATTTTCCGCTCCCTAATTAAAAACTATCCAACAAGTACTTGTACCCTAACTGATGGGATCTGTATTTGGCAGAATGCCAAGAAAAATCCATTCATGCTGAAGGGGAAATACGTCAGAGTTCGTTATTGCGAGGCAGGTGGAGTCGTGTCCGCCTTTGAAAAAAATTGCAGAAAAGGCAGGGGTGGAAAGAGGATGGGTCCTGGAAGATTCATCGAATGGCAGAGGAGAGAGACTATTCAAACTGATGAGAATGTTGATTTGAAAGGGGGAAGAATGTTATTGTTCTGAGATCTCGTTTAGGGTGAATAAGGCATGTAGGTCCGTTCAAGGGAAAGAATGTAAACAAAATAACGTTCGCAAAAAGCAACTGAGTGGTCTTTTGTGTGGGAACAGCACCAATCTATGCACAATGACAAGGCCATCCAAACTATGTACAATGACCATCATAGGAAATATTTTATTTTTAGTGCACCTAAACGCCGCACCCGCTGAAAATTTAAGTTTTAAACACGTAAACGCCGCAGCGTTTCTTCCAGAAATTACGGTAGTCTCTTTCCTCTGCCATTCAATGAATCTTCCAGGACTCGTCCTCTTCCCACCCCTGCCTTTTCTGCAATTTTTTTTTTGAAGGCGGACACAACTCCACCTACCTCGCAATTATGAACTCTGACGTATTTCCTCTTCAGCAGGAATCGATTTTTCTTGGCATACTGCCAGATACAGATCCCATCAGTTTGGGTACAAGTATATGTTGGATAGTTTTTAAGTAAGAAGGGAGCGGAAAATTTTTGAAAATAGCACCTAAACGCCACAAAAGCTATACTGTTGGTTTAAAGCTTAATGTAATTTCACGTGCTGAACAAATTGGAAAGAGCAGCAGCTCGAGAATTTGAAGTGGACGAGTTCAACGTTGTAGAACTGAAAAGAAGTTAAAAATATGCCACAACAGAAACGAGCCAAAAGAAGTGGTACTGTAATTTGGCCGAATCTAGAGGACGACCTTGCAAACTGTATAAAGGAGCAACAAGGAAAGGGAATGGCAATTTCAACTGTAAAAGTTCACTTACAAGCAAAATTTATAGCAAAACAAATGAACATAAATGATTTCAAAGGAGGGCCTTGCTGGTATTTTCAAAGGAGGGCCTTGCTGGTAGCAGATTTATGAAAAGAAAAAATATTTCTGGGCGTAGTAGAACAACAGTCGGGCAACAATTACCTATGGACTGGCAGGATAAAAAGGCATCTTTTCTAAAATATGTGGCAGATATTATTGACAAAAAAGAAGAAAAAAAAGTTGTTCGGTCACGGATAATAAATGTGGATGAAACGCCATTAGCTTTCGATTCTCCTGCAAACAGAACTGTTGGTGAAACTGGTGCAAAAACTGTATCTGTACTTACGATGGGGCATGAGAAAACATCATTTACATTAGCTTGTGCCGCAAATGATGACAGGCTAAAGCCGCTGATCATTTTTAAATGAAAAACTATTCCAAACAGAGATTTTCCTAATGACGTAATTATTTGTGCAAACGAGAACGCCTGGATGTGCGAAACAATCGTGTATGAGTGGCTACAAAAAAAATTTGGCAGTGTCGTAACGGATCTTTTTTCCAACCAAAAGGGTTATTGACAATGGATTCGATGCATGCTCATTATCTTGAGTCAGTGAAAACCAGATATCAAAAATTGTCTACGACTGTAGCAATAATTCCTAGTGGTTTAACAAAAATCTTACAACTATTAGATTTGTCGACAACGGCTGGATGTGCGAAACAATCATGCATGAGTGGCTACAAAAAAATTTGGCAGTGTCGTAAGGGATCTTTTTTCTAACCAAAAGGGTTATTGACATTGGATTCGATGCATGCTCATTTACTTGAGTCAGTGAAAACCAGATATCAAAAATTATCTACGACCGTAGCAATATTTCATGGTGGTTTGACAAAAATCTTACAACTATTAGATTTGTTAGGTAATAAATCCTTCAAAGCTGAAGTTCGAAGGCGGTGGAGTGCTGGATGAGTGAACCAAAGTGGTAAAATACGTAAAGCATCTTATGAAGAAGTTGCAAAGTGGGTAGGAAGTGCGTGAAAATCGGTAAAAACATTGTGTAATTTAAATTTTTTTCCCTCCATTTTTCTCGAGTGCGGCGTTTATGCTGATGCGGCCTTTCTTCCTGAAATTACGGTAATAAAAACAATTTGAGATTTAAAATTTTCAATACCATAACTTCTGTTATCATTTAAAAAAGTAACAATGGGATATATTTTCTGGTAAAGTTTTACATTAGTAGTGTTATTTTGATTTGCAGTTGTATTGCACAGCACTGTTTAGCATATTTATTTGCAATTGTATTGTGTAGCTTTCTCAAGATGAATCTTCTGAAGCCGTGATGGAACATATGGAGGTTTCTGATTTTCCTCAAGCCATTGATATGCAAAGCTTAAAAAATATAAAGGTTGCTAAAGATCTGACTTGCCAAAATATGCACAGAGTGCAAACAAGCGATGTACAAAATGACAGTACAGGTAAGTTGTACTTAAATTTATGAACTTTTATGCTAGCATTTTAAGAATAGAATTCCCAGTCCCAGATATATGTTAACAGGATTTTGAACATTAATTTACAAGAATGAAACAGCATTAATCTGTTTTTATTTATTGACTGTCTAAGGCCCATATCGCTTGGCGTTTGTTTCACACGAACAACTGTTTCGGACGATTTTTCTGCCTTGTTTACTATTCAAAGAAAGATGTGCGACTTTTTCTTTCCTTCCCCCCCCCAAAATGCAAGTTGTTCGTTTTCAACCAATTAGCTATCAGCTTCGAATGCTATCAGCTTTTTTGTAATGGGGAACCAGTTTTCCCTGTGTTAACCCCAAAGCGATCTATGGGGATTGGCTGTTGTGACAAAGCAGAAAAATTGTTCAAAACAGTTGTTCTTCCGAAACAAACCGACATGTGATAGCAGCCTAAGTTGCATTATCTGTAATTTAATACTATATTGCAATAAATGCGATTTTGTTTCCATTTATTTTAAATATATATGAGACTTTGCAACCTAAAGAATAAATTTTAATATTAAACTAACTTTATGAACAGTATTGATAATTTTGTTGTTCTGAATACAAAATAAATTCTTTAACCAATTGCCTGATTTATTTAAGGATTAAATGCTGGTAGTTTAGTCAATGCTGTGATTCTTGATGAAACAGATTGGCTAACATTCTCTCAATGTGTAGTGTAAATTAGTTTTGGTACCATTCGGTTTCGAGGGCCGTAAAAAATCGCCAAACTGTTGTTCATGCCAATGCTGCCAAAAATAATTGAGGCAAGAAAGGAAGTATAATAGTAAATAACTATCTAAGATTGATGTTTTAATTTAAATGAAAGGTTAATTTCATATAATACTTTTTTATTATTATAATTTATATGAAAAAGGCTAAACATGACTGAATGGAAGCATAAGAGTATAACTATTTCAGATCATTATTATAATTTATATAAAAATTGCTAAACATAACTGAATGGATGCTTGCATTGCTATTTCGCTACCGACTTATCGCTAAAGCATAATTTAGTCTCGTTGGTTGTTCAAACGTAATTTTCTATAATGAATGATGCCTTTTCTTTGCAAATATTCTTGGTAAAGTGCAGAATCTCTCACTTATTTGTTTGCCGCTTTTTACAAGGGCTAAAAAAAAATTGGTTTTTTGTCAATTTTCTTTTACCTTTTAAGTGAAAATAACTCGATGTGTACATAGATAAAGTCAAGGGTGTGCGCAGTGCCGTTTTTGTGCAATTCTAGAATTTTTTTTAAAGTGAAAATAACTTGCTGTGCACATGGATATCGAGTATGTGCAGTTCTTAAAAACGCGTCAAGCAGTGGATGATTCTGCACTTTACCCAAAATTCTATTGCCGACTTTTCGTCATGGACAATTCCCAAATTGTTAAATCCATAGGATATCAAAATAAATAAATAAATAAATCAGAAAAAGGATTTAAAAATTAAACTAGTATTTCAATGGCGTCTTAAGAAATATAGAGTTATATAAACTTATGCAATCTGAAATCGGCGTGTATGCTAGATTTGGCACGCTGTTTAAATGGGCGCGTTTGCTAGATTTGGCGCTTTAGCGCATACATTTTTGCTGCAATTTTTTACGGCCCTCAAAACAGAATAGTACCTTAGTTTTTATAAAGTACACATTTTTTTTAAAAGGTATAATTCTTATGCAGTTTAACCAGATGCTTGCAGTATAGTCTGAATGCTGAAATCAGTTGTTATTCTTACATATAATAACTATGAAACTATTACAGTCAAATGTCGTTAATTCGGCCACCCATAATCCGGACCTCAAAGCTACAAACTTTCTGCGCATGCATCGCGTTGACGCATGTGCATAGGCGTTTACGCGTGCGCATAAGACCTTTACGGCTGCGAATATGCGTGTGCGCATGTGCATAATATGTTTACGCATGTGCATTTAATGTGGTGTGGTGTATTTAATTATGGCAAAGCACAGTAGGGCTATCTGCCTAAGAGGAGGGATGCCTTTCGTGGAGGACTTTCTAAGGGAAACTGGCTCGTATACACGTTACACATGGGGAAAACCACAAAAACACCCATGCAGCCAGCCCATTTGCGGGATTCGAACCTCGGACCGAACTACAGTGTTCAGCGACTTTACCGCTCGGCCGCTGGTGGGCCTGTGCATTTAATGTATAATGGACGATATAAACTAAGCTAAAATTATCTAATTCAGTTAATGTTACAGATTGTGTTGTTCCTTAATCTTCGAATTGGATCTGGCTTATTATTTTTTGCAGACTGTTACAGCAATTTTATAAAAGTAAGCTTGAACTTTCGATTACGTCAAATAGAATTTCTGATATATATTTACTAATATGTAAAGGATCTACAAAGCAAAAGTATGTTTCGAAGTCCATTAAACAGAAAGTGGAATTGCTGCAAAAAATGGATAAAGGCATAAATATGCCTTTGATTATCTAATCATTCCGAAATATGTTTATCAATTTCACGCTGCTCTGCGAGGGGAGCAAATGACGCAACGAATTGGAAGTTGATCTTTCAGTTGAAAAAATTTCAATTGACAAATTAGTCGGTATTCTCGACACAGCAATTATAGGACTTGAACAGCGGAACTTTGTAAGTAAACAAGAAATTATGTCTGTTTAATAGAATTAAAAAGAAAGTATTATCACATGAAATGAAGCAACTTAAACAACTTGCATTGAAAGAAATGTTTAATAAAGTAAACAAATAAATATTAAGCTTTTTCTTTTTGTAAATTTTGATACCCTTTAGATCATAATTGTTCTTTATTTCATAAATTACGGTTTCATATTTTTAATTTTATAATTTCTGCATGCCATCTTACCAGATTTAAACTGATGATCTATAATCTGGAATCGCCGAAGTCCCGACGAGTCCGGATTAACGACTTTTGACTGTATAATGCTTTGGTTTTCCCTACATAATAAAAGTATAGACTTTCTTAAAAGCCTTTTACAATATGACAAACAAAGAAGTAGTTACCATAGGTATATATTTAAAAAAATTGTTAAACCTTTCCTGAATCTTTATAAGAAGAATATCAAATCTTGCCAAGCTCGTCAATACCTTTCAATTAATCATGAAAATGAAACTTCCTAATGATGTAATCTCTACATATAATAAAAGAAAGAGTCTGTGTGTGTGTCTTTCGTTTGTGCTGCGCGTAAGCTAATAGACCCACGGTGATGAAATGTGGTACATAGGTGCATCTAGACAAGAGCCAGTGCACCTCGAAGCGATTTTTTCGAAATTCGAATAAGAATCTTTTTTATTTCATGTTTTGTGACGAAAACGCGTCATTTTGAAACATAACGGGCTATAGGAAAGTGAGATTTTACTACACACTCCATTTTCACATCGTCATGAAACGTAGGCACTTAGCTATTTTACGAACTTAAAATAAATTTCGTGTTTCAATAAATCGATTAAATACGAATTTATTTAACAAAGGGAGCTTAACACTTTTTCAATGGGATTTTTTCTAAAAAAGTTTATTTTTAAAAATATACAGTTTATTTTTCTTTGATTTTTGGACACGTTAAACTTTCATCCTTGCGAATGCTTTTACAAAAAGAATTTTGGAAAAATGATAATATTTTGTATTTAAAAAAAAATTTAAATGAAGCTTCCGAGTACACTTCTCGCATCTCACATCTTTAAAAATGTGATTTTGGGAACTATTTTCCTGTCTTATTGTTGTTGATAGATTTTTGATGAAATCGCATCATTTTGAATAGTTTCATTCTTTTAGAAATATGGGTTTGGCAACAATTTTTCATCGTATTTATTATGTCAGTGTTTTTAAGAGATTGGCATATTCATTGTCATTTTTATATGTATATAATACATTTTTATTGATTTTTTTTTTTTTTTTTTTTTTTTTGATAAAGTTGTTCTACAGAGTAAAATTCTGTGCGGAGGAATTTTATGTTTTCTGAGTTGCTTTCATGTTATGTTTTGCTTATTTCACTATTTGTAAGATATTAAAAGTTTTGCATGATTTTTTTTTCTTCACCAGAAATTTATTAGAAATTTATTAGATCTATTTTTTTATTAGTATAATTAATATTTGTGTTGAGGGATATAGCTTATTTCATTGTAATTTTCTCTTGAAAATATAAGATAAAATATCATTAATTATACTTTGCTTTTCAAAAATTTTTTTTTGTATTCTTTTATGTTATGTATTGCTCATTTCATTGTTTTTAAGATATTGAAAAGTTTTCAGTGTTTTTTTTTTTTTTAGGAAACGAAGTTCTTAACCTCCTTTATACCATTTGAGTTCTTAAGATTTTGCAAAGGGAAGTTGGTTAATTTATTTATTAGGATAATTAATATTTGTATTAGCAGATATTGCTCATTTCATTTTAATTTTTTTATACGTAATAACTTTTTTTTATGAAGTTGTTCTTCAGAGTAAAATTCTATGCAGTTTCTAAATTTAACGTTTGGTGTTTCCTTCAGCCATTTTTCCGGTACATTTAAAAGCCAGACGAAAGCTGGCAGCAAAGCTGCTAGTTATCAGTATCATTTTAAAGTATTTGTGTATAGACTTCACTTCTGAGACGTGGTTAATACCAAGGTATGATGATAACTTGTCAGTAAATGTTTGCTTTTAATCTTCCTTGTGTTCATTTAAGCACATGCTCAGTTTTTGTCCAGTATGTTTTGTATTTTTTGGTAATCTTCTGTTATCAGGACCGGATTCAGAAATGTATTTATGTGTATGTACACATACATACATACGTATGTATATATATATGCATACATGAACACACATATTCATCCATATGTGCATACATACATACATACATACGTTTCTGAATTCGGTTCTGAAACAGAACAGTACCCATTTTTCCTTTAATGAGTTTCTAAGATTTCTGAAATGATGAATTGTAAATTATTTCTTTTTCTCAGAACTGTAGGTTATTACCAAATAGTTGAAAATGTCCCAATTCTTGAATAGTAAAATTATGCGTCAGTAAAGAAAACATGTTTTAAATATGTTAGGAAATCAGTTCACTGGAAGTCAGATCACATAAATAAGAACCATATGATTAATATACTGCTGCTGCAAGGAGTAATATTGAATTCTGCCAAAAAAGGATGTGGTATGAGTGATCAAATTATATAAATAATTTATTTTAAAAGTTTTATTTTCATCAAAGATCGTAAACTTTTGCTGTCTGGATACTGAATTATTGCTATACTATAATGCAAACAGTCTAAATTTCAAATGATTTTGTGCATTTTTCATTCGATATATCAGATACAATCTCAATACTTATGTACTAGTTATATTGTTAATTAGCTATTAAAATTGATCAAAACATATGTGTTAATATGTACTACAGTTTACTGACAGACAATCCAGCAGGCTAGATGCTTTTTGAAACTAATAATTTCCATGCTGTGTACACAAAGTAATCCTTATAATTAATTAGTTTGTAAGATCTTACTCTCTTTGCTAACATACAGTTAAAATGATCTTACGAGGAAAAAACCTGGCGACTTCTCACACAGACGTAAAAGAATACCAGAACAGAAGAAGAGTAAAATAACCCTTTGTTGTTCTTCAAACTCTTAACACAAATGATGCACTTCATGCTTACAATAACACCGGTAACTTGTGGTGTAACTTAAGAGTAGTTACATAATGATTTCAAAGATAATGAGTAGTGCTGACCTAACAATTTAATTTAAGGCTAACTAGGCTGTCTCAACAACCTATCTGGCAATGTACTTATGATATGGCCAAAAAGGCATATCAGAAACTCAGCACAACAGCAAGGACAAACTAGTAATGCGTGCTGGCTAACAGAATTATGCTCTGAATAAACTACAAGATTCATCTGTTTAAATACTCACTTCATTAAACATTAAATATGTATCCTGGTGAGGAAATGCAAGGAGAAAATGAAAGGTTCAGGAAAGGTACTTGACTTAAAAAATTTCCTATGCAAAATAAGGGAAGCCCTACAAGTTTTGTCAACATTTCCTGAAATTTATTGTGGTACAATGTCTGAGATCCAGAATTTTCAGGACTTCAGCGATTCTGGATTTTAGATCATTAGTTTAAATCTAATAAGATAGATAGCATATAGACATGGCAACATTGCTGCTTCGCTTATTGTTTTTGTCAGATAGAAGATAGCTATCCCTCCCAACAGGATTGGTACCAGAGCTGGGGTTGCAGAATTCAGGTGTGGCTAAAATTTTAGAATTTAGAGTACCATAGAATAGCAAAAATTAGTAATGGCAAAATTTTTTGAATTTAGGATAGGCACTGGGCAGCAAAATTTTTAGAATGCAGAGAAGTACCAAACAGTAGAATTTAGGACCTGCAGCAATTGCATGAAGCAGCAAATGAATAGTGTTGGTCTTTCCTCCATTGACAACCACCAGGGCCGAAAGTGTGATCCTGACCCTGGAACATTAATACAAGGCCAGTCAATATATTGTTATTGGCTGTAGTACGACTCCCTAGCCAGCAAGTGTCTGAAAGTGATGTGCAGAAATCTCTAAGTTTGGGGGGGGGGACTCATTTATACGACATCCATTTCTCCTGAGTATTGTGTTCTTCATTCTTAAATTTTTATTATGGGAGGGAAATTTATTTAATTTGTTTACTAGCAGCTTCACTGCCAGCCTTCGTCTGCCTTTAAAACGTACTCGAAAAATGATTGAAGGGAACACCAAATGTTAAATTTAAAAACTGCACAGAATTTTAATCAAGCAGTATCCCTTAATACAAATATTAATTATCCTAATAAGTAAATTAACCAACTTCCCTTTGCAAAATCTTAAGAACTCAAATATTATGAAGGAGGAAAAGCCCACCAGCGGCCGAGCGGTAAAGACACTGAACACTGGTAGTTCAGTCTGAGGTTCGAATCGCGAACGGGCTGGCTGCATGGGTGTTTTCGTGGTTTTTCCCATGTGTAACGTGTATACGAGCCAGTTTCCCTTAGAAAGTCCTCCACAAAGGCATCCCTCCCTTTAGGCAGATAGCCTTCATGTGCTTTGCCATAATTAAATAATCCAATCCAATCCAATAAAGGAGGTTAAGAACTTATTTCCTAAAAAAATCACTCAAAACTTTTCAATATCTTAAAAACATTGAAATTAACAATAAATAACATAAAAGAATACAAAAAACAAAAAATTCTGAAAAGCAAAGTATCATTAATGATATTTTTTTTATCTTATATTTTCAAGAGAAAAAAGTTAGGTGCTACTTTGGTAGACAGTTGCACAGATTTTTGGCGATTTACATTGGCGCAATTTTTGGCGCGGTTTTTATAGTCATTAGCCATCTTGAAAAATGCTGTTTTTACGTATTTTACGCATATAGTAAAGTATTAGAAACTTTTAAAAAAATAAATATCGTTAAAAATAATGGATTAATTTTTTGTTGAAAACGTTGTTTTTTTAAGATGGCTGGCAAATGTAAGTAAATATATTTACTAAGAGTATAAAATGCTAAAGTAAGGTTAAATTATTACTTTCATATAATAGAATAAAAACATTGCGCCAACATTTAATTGGATTAAAATATTACTTAAATTGAATATCAAATTAAAAATATCATACCAACACTTAAATGAATTAAAATATTACTTAAATACTTTAAAATAAGTTTTATAGGATTTAATTATTTAACATTAAAACATTTGTGGCAATAAATATCTCAGGAATTTTTGAAAACATTGTATTAATATTTTAATAAAAGTTGAAGTAACCAATTATAAAGTAAAAGAAAATGATTTACTTAAATTTTTTTATTCCGTAATTGTTGCCAAAATCACATTTTTAAAGATGTGAGAAGTGTACTCAGAAGCTTCATTTAAAAAATTTTTTAAAAATACAAAATATTATCATTTTTCCAAAATTCTTTTTGTAAAAGCAGTCGCAAGGATGAAAGTTTAATGTGTCCAAAAATCAAAGACAAATAAACTGTAAATTTTTAAACATAAACTTTTTTAGAATAAATCCCGTTAAAAAGGTATTAAGCTCCCTTTGTTAAATAAATATAATTAACAAATGTTAAATAATGTATTTAATCGATTTATTGAAACACGAAATTTAAGTTCATAAAATAGCTAAGTGCCTACATTTCATGACGATGTAAAAATGGAGTGCGTAGAGTATAATCTCGCTTTCTTATAGCCCATTATGTTTCAAAATGACACGTTTTCGTCACAAAACATAAAATAAAAAAAAAATTCGGATTCGAATTAAAAAAAAAAATCGCTTCGAGGTGCACTGGCTCTTATCTAGATGCATCTATGTACCAAATTTCCTAGCCGTGGGTCTATTAGCTTACGTGCAGCGCGAACGAAAGACACACACACACACAGACAGACTCTTTGTTTTATTATATGTAGAGATTTTTTAGCTGTTGTTCTTGGCAAATTTAGAGAGGATCCGTGAACTTGTTGGCGACTATTTTTAGCCAAGCTTATGTGTGAAAGGCAGCAGCTGTTTTCAAAATGAGAGCACACAAAGAATTCCATGTAAGAGCAATCAACTGATAAAATACAGAAAGCAAGAAACAAAAACACTTACCTTTATCAAGAAATTCTTTTTTTTTTTTTTTTTTTTCTTGCGCTGTTGTTTTACCATGTACAGAGAAATCTACTTTCGCTTAAAAAAAAAATTAGAAATTGCACAACTGTATTGTTGTATACCAGCCAAAATAGATGTACTATTCTAATACCTGAGTTGCAATATAGATGCTTTTAGGTAATTTCATGATTTGCCACATAACTATTTTGGTCACATACTGTTTTGGCTTATAAATACTTTTTTGCGACTTTTTGGTGGAGGTGTGAATTATTGAAAAGTATTGAACTTTTTGATATTGTGGGTATATCAGTTTTTGATATTATTGGCAGTCAAGGTGACATGTCAGTGGGAACTGTTCTCACTCATTCCTAATTAAAATTCTATCAACTATGAAAAAGGAAAATAAGAATGTTATTACATCAGAAGCATTGAAAATTATGCATTTAAGATTATTGATGATTCTAAAGAAAAAACATTTAACATTCATTTTAAATAAAAGGGGAAAAGTTGTTTTTGGACGTAGCTTTTTTATTTTTAGTTAATTAGATATTGATAAACATAAATATTATTTTGATACAAATTAATTTATGCATGTTAGTAGATACTGTTAATCATGCAATTTTACCTGAAGTTATCGCTATTCATTCCCATAGCACAGAATCATGAACTTTGTAAAGAAGAGTCGCTTCAAAGTCCTTGCAATTCAGCATCTGTTGATGTACCTGCTGTCTCAGAATCTAGTCATTCTATAACTTGTGAGGAAAGCTCTTCTACTTCAGTGCAAGCTAGTAAGCAATTTAAGTTTCTCATTTTAAATATTTAATTTTTATAGTACAATATAGTTTATATATTACAAATGAGGTGTGTAAGAAAACTTTCACCAAAGGAATAACTTGTACTCTACAATTTTCATTAAAGTCTTGTCCACCCCCCCACAATTTTAGAATTTTGAAACTTCATAATGTTTTGGTTTATGTGTCAGTAGAAAGTCCTTTAACTTTAACCTTTATTATTATATATTATGAATATTTTAATTAGCATTATGTATGTATTATAAATAATGAACCAGTTACTTATGTTAGGAGAAAAATTAATTCATTATACAATTTTTATGAATTTATTTATAATGTAAAATTTAGTTTTTCGAATTTTTTCTGTTAATAAAATCATCAGTTTTGAAGTACATTAGAAAACCAGTTATAGATTTTACTCAAGTGAATGAAAGTTCTGTTTGTATGAATCCTGAAGTATTTAATTTTGTTTTTAAATTTTCAAACTGATTGAAAAAAAATATTGATAGCATGCAATAACTATGCTAATTTTAAGTGACTAAAGCCAGAATTCCAAATTACCGTAATTTCCGGAAGAAAGGCCGCATCAGAGTAAACGCCGCTCTTGAGAAAAATGGCGGGAAAAAAATTACACAGAAACGCAGCAACAGATTAAATTGCCGTGACATTGTCACGGGCCGTATAGTTGCAAAATCTCAACCTATGTCCTGATATATGACATATCAGTTAAGAAAAATGCATGAAATGAAACCATAACTCAAAAATAAATTAAAGGTAAGAAATGTTGAAAATATATTTACGTTCACGAATATACTTACATTTACCCACTAAAGAAGTCCATATTTGTAATACTCAGACTATATTATAAAAAATGTTGCAACAAAAATATTAAATTTGGATGACAAAAGGAAATTTTAAATTTTACTTACAAAAGGAATTACAGCAAACTATACATCATATGAAGCCATCAAAATCTGATTCTTCACTATCTGAATTAATAAGATTTAGTAAATCCTGATCTAAGTCCAAGTCTTCCAGATCATCACATTCATCCTCTTGGTTTACAGTCTCTTAATCTAAGGATATAATTTCAGCTTCTTTCCACCGTGCTATTATTGACGATGTTTTTACCAATTTCCACGCACTTCCTACCCATTTTGCAACTTCTTCATAAGATGCTTTACGCATTTTACCGCTTTTGGTATACGTATGCAATTCTTCACTCATCCAATACTCCACCGCCTTCGGAAGGATTTATTACCTGCCAAATCTAATAGTTGTAAGATTTTTATCAAACCACTAGGAATTATTGCTACGGTCATAGACAATTTTTGATATCTGGTTTTCACTGATTCAAGTAAATGAGCATGCATCGAATCCATTGTCGATAACCCTTTTGGTTGGAAAAAAGATCCCTTACGACACTGCCAAACTTTTTTGTAGCCACTCATGCATGATTGTTTCGCACATCCAGCCGTTCTCGTTTGCACAAATAATTACGTCATTAGGAAAATCTTCCTTCGGAATAGTTTTTCATTTAAAAATGATCATCGGCTTTAGCTTGTCATTGTTTGCGGCACAAGCTAATGTAAATGACGTTCTTTCATGCCCCGTCGTAAGCACAGGTACAGTTTTTGCACCAGTTTCACCAACAGTTCTGTTTGCAGGAGAGTCGAAAGCTAACGGCGTTTCATCCATATTATTATCTGTGACCGAAGAATCATTATCGGAATCTTTAAATGGAATTTATTCAAATTATTGTACAGAATAATTAGTTAAAATCATTAAGCAGAACTTTTCCTTTACTTTCTATTAGAATATGCTTATTGTTTTAGATCAAATGGATCTTGATCGACCTCCATGCCGAAAGGCGAAACTTATCCGTCGTGAGAGAAAATTGCAGAAACTTTTAAAAATGGGTGTATCCGCTGATGAAGCAAAGGCCTCGATGGAGGTACTAAATTCATTTTAAGTATTGAAAAAGTTAATTTCGTGCTTAGTTTTTTTTTTTCCTATTCATATGGTTTATGCTATCATGTTTTTCTTTGAAATGTAGTAGCAATGCTCTCTTTTTATTATATTATTAATTAATAGTATTTTAAAGCATTGATAAGAAGTTTATTATCCTTAAATTATAGAAAAAGAATGATCGAGCAAAGAGTCTTGAAGATTTTATCAATCAACCTCTACCTGCAGAACCTGCGCATAAATTAGAAGTAAGAATTATTTCTTCCTTTTAAAAAGATAACTCAACTATATGAACTGTATTGATTTTCTCATTTGTACCTAATTTGCTTGCTTATATTAGGAACTGGATAAACATAAATCTATATCATGCATCTAGAAAGCCTTTTTATTTTATGAATTTTTTTTACTGTTGTAAATATTTTAAAATAATTTATGATAGATAATTAATGTTTATGTAGAGCAGCTGACCTCTTTGAATTATTTTAAACTGCATTATGGCATATATCTTGGGAGAAATTATCAAATTAAATGCGTGAACACTGCACAAAAAAAAGGGGGAGACAGTTCTATATCTTCTGCCCTACCAGGCCAATTGACAAAATTCAAATTGCGTTTTTCATGTCTTGAAAACGCGATTTAGGATATATATTAGATTTATATATAGCATTGTTCTAACATAGGTATTTTTACATAAAATCAGACTTTTTGAACTAACATACTAATTCCTTTTCCATATTTTGATTCTATCACTCAGATTATACCTAGATATTAAATTTTGTCAAATTTGGTGCGAAATTTACGGAGAAATTCAAAAACTTATCCTGACACAATTTTTCGGTTTACGCCAAGAATAATTCACTTGGTGAACTTCTAAATATTTGGCAGACAAATTTTCCTTTCCCTTCCATTATGCTGGAGCAAAAAAAAGTCACTGCGTTTCTACTTCCAAATAATTTTAGCAAAGTGTCTAAACCACGTCTGATGTTTTATCACTTTCAACAAATATGCTAAATTTTAAAATGTGCCAATATATAAATCCACATATATCTTTGGAAATTTTGAATAAAAAACTGTAATTTTTTTGCAGGTATGCATAGAAATACGTCTACTTTAAGATGATGGTAAAAATTTTATATAGTTCAAAAATTTTTTTGAAAAATTTATAAAAATTATTTAAAAATAAATCATAAAAAATAGGTGAATTTTATTTGTAATGAACCTAAATTTTGCAATGTGAAAGGAAGAATCAAATACGTTTAATAAAAAATAGAGATTAATAAATATATACCAAACTCAATTAACATTGAGGAGCTAAAATTTTGAGAGCTAATTTTTTAAAAGCTGCTCGTGCGATTTTTACAAAACTTGGTTGGTTGGCATGATTTGAATCGTAGAACCGAAATATGGAAAAAATTGGCATGTTATTTCAGAAAAAGTTCGATTTTGTGTTAAAATACATATATTAGAACAATGCTATATATAAATCTAATATATATCCTGAGTCGCACCTTCGAGACCTGAAAAACGCAAGTTGAATTTTGTCAATTGGCCCAGTAGAATGGGAGATATGGAACTGTCCCCCTTTTTTCTTGCGCAGTGTACATTCAGTTAAGGGTAGTGAGATAAAAAGCACATGTGTAAATTTGCAAGAGGAATTTCAGTATACTTCTTAACTTCTGATGATAAGCTGGATTTTTTTTTGGGGGGGGGGAGCACATGTAATGAATTATTTTTTTGATATTTTGTTGTTTTGATTCCATTTGTTTGCTAATCGTGAAGTTTGGAAATTTGTTTAAAAGTTTATAAATTCTTTTGAATAATTTAGATTTAACATCTTAAATTTTGCTATTTCATAACTTAATAACTTTTTGAGTGAATAATACTGAAGTTGTTTAGTTTTGGTTATGGATAAAAAAATGGTTTTAACCAAGAAAAATAGATTATGTGAAGATTCTTTTAGAAGGCAAGTGTACATAATAAAATGTTGCTAAAAGACTATATTTTATGAATCATATTCAAAAGCCAGCTGACCACAGTGAAATGATTGCAGTTAGCCAACCTAATGAGTTAGTTATATTCAGTTAAGTGCTATTTCTGTGATTTTATTGGGGCCCCTTTTATGAAACACATTTAACTTCTTAAAGTTTTTTAAGAGGTTCATAAATACTGCATGCTATTAGAATGTGCATTTTCTAATATCGTGCTTTTTCATAGAGGATGCATTGTGAAATTTGTGATTTAATTTTCGCAAAATTATATCTCTTGCCACCAGGCTACTGCATCTCATGCATGATTTATCAAAAATGCATCAGAGTTCTAGACCAGTGACCTATAAGACTGTGGCTGTAAGCCTGACAGTTTCTCTTTGATACTGTTGAACAAAATATCTGATTAATGGACATCTAGGGCGAAATTCTGGTCAAAATTATAGCAGGCATGTATTTCTTTTTGCAACTCTACACCACCTGCTCAAGCTGATGTTTTTTGGAACGTGCAAACTGTTATTGTAATATCAATATATTATTATACTAAAAGATCAATATATTATTAGAAAGGGTTCTATAATGCTTATGGAAAGTAATGTTAGTTTTTTTTCTTTTTTTTGGGGGGGGAGGGGGGAACCTTCTTGTTTTCCCACTTTTGAAGAATTTAGTTTATGGATACATGTCAGTATTGTAATTATTTTATTAAAATTACATATTTATGTACTTATGACACACAGGGAAAAAAAAAATTTTCTCAGTAATAGAATTTGCTTCAAAAATCACTCTACACATTTTCTTCATTATGAAAGAAAATATTGTTTACAGTTCCTATATTCTAGATACTTGTATGATACTTCTTATTGATAGTATTACATTAAAATCATGTACTGTTGGATAGAAAAGTTTTATGTTTTGTTAATCACATGCTGATATCTCTGTGTCCATGCATTTTCATGTGGAGTAAAGCATATTAATTCATGCTGACCATAGTAATAGCATACCAGTGTTGAAAATTTAATAATGATCACAGGTTAGTACAGGAAAGGTTCATTTCATATTTCAGAGGTTCATTTATAGATTCATATTTATAGTTTTCTCTACAGTCTTGACATTGTCCATGGTTGTTTTCTGTTTTCATAATGCAATTAACAGTCTCCATTGACATTGACTGGAGCAGTGGATGACTTGTACAGTGTTAAAAACTGTACAGAAATTTAAACCGTTGTAAAGATCAAATCCCATTTTACAAGCAAGTTGCAAACAACATCAGCCATATGTCAATGGGCATAGTTGTCAAATGTAGGTTGAATGATCAAAAAGATATGCTGTGTCATCCACTGTATCATATGTAGGTTCTTGTAAGGTTTGTGCATATATAATGTAGAATTTTCTATTTGTACAAGGTGGTTTGTGAGAAAGGTGGCATCATAGCATTCATTTGCAACGTAGGTCTTTTTTTTTTTTTTTTTTTTTTTTTGGGAAATGGAGAACAAACAAAGTTTGCAAAACGTAATTGCAATTGGAATTGGATTATGCAGTGGGAAAATTATGGAAATTACATAGTGGTGTAGTTGCTTTTTTAATTACAGTTACAATTGTGTTGTAATTGTGAAATCCACTTGCAATTAAAATGTAATTGCATAATTTAATTGCAGTTACTTAATAATTGTGAAATCTAATTACAATGTAATTGCAATCACATTGTAATTATAATTACAGAGTAATTGTATAATTTAATTACAATTACAGTGTAATTGCAATTATATTTAATTACAGTTACAATGTAATTGTGATTGTAATTGCAATTACAATGCAGTTGTTATTGCAGTAAGTAATTACAATTACCTAATTAGAAAAGTAACTGCCTGTGACAATTTCAGTTACATAGCATAGTGAAATCATGACCATAATTGAAAATTATAGTAAATGATAGTGTATTTGAAATAGTTCACCATTTCGAATAGTGAGTTGTGAAATAATACAAAGGGATAATGTCATATAAGAAAATTTGTAATTCCATCTGGAGTCATTCTGCTTAATTTTTTTATGTAATTTCATAAAAACAAATTCTTTGTTAAATACTATGTGTATTTTTAGTAACTATGTAAAGGAAATATAGTTAAAGCAGAATGTATTTACAGGAACTAATTTTGGTTGTTTCATATAGAACTAAATAAGTGCACATAACCTTTTATACAAATATGTGTGTTTATGATGTTTGCTGACAGATATGTGGATTTGAATTATTTGATTATGGAAAAGCAAATGAAAACTGTATGCCTATAGAAAGATATGCCTTTGCGGAAGATCTGTTAAGGAAACTGCTCTTTTTTTTATATTACATTGGAAATGAATCACGAAAACTTCATATAATCTTTTCATTTGAATTTCATTTTTCTACCTCAGCTGGTAGAAACATCTCTTTAATCCATAATCATCCTGCTTAATTGCCATGCATACTAAAATTTTTGCTAATGGTATTGGTTGCAAATTAGTTTATTATTAAAGATAACACATATTTTTAATAAATAGTTAAAAACTTTATTTACTTACAAGTGATTGCACAAGTACAATCTATTCCAGAGCTTCAGGTAAAATTAAGCAAGCATAATTTTGTTAAGTATCTGTCGATGACTGTTCTGCAGAAGGTTAGGTTATGTGGATTATGGTAAAGCACACAAAAGCTATCTGCATAAGGAGAGAAATACTTGTGTGGAGGACTTTCTATGAGTCATTGACTGGTTTTCACATTACTGTGGTTAAAACCATGGATAGACCTGTCCAGCCAGCCCATTCCCCAAGATTTAAATCAGGGCCTAATAATGATAGTGATCTTACAGCATGACTGCTGGTGGATGTTGAAATGCAGAAAAATTGCCGCATGTTCCATCTGAGATCATCCTGCATAATTATTCAGTGAAGTTCAATTTTCAGTAATAGTATTAACTATGGAACAGGTTTTTATTAAAGTATAGTCCATATTTTCAATAAATAATTAAAACATGTTATTTTTCTACAAGTGGATGCACCTGCTTGAACTAGTTTCCATAGCTTCAGGTAGAAATAAACAAGTATATTATTCTTAAAAAGAAGTATCTAAAGATGACAGTTCTTGCAGAAAAATGGAATTATTTTCTAACAAAGACCATCCTGCATGATTATTGAGTGAACTCCAACTAGCAGTAATGATATTAACTGTAAAGTAGGCTTTATTTAAATATAGTTCATATTTTTAATAAATAATTACAACATATTATTTTTTATAGGTGAATGCACCTGCCTGAACTAGTTTCAATAGTTTCAGGTAGAAATAAAAAACATATTATTACTAAAAAGAAGTGTCTGAATTTGACAGTTGCCTGCAGACACATGGAATTATTTTCTGTCCATGACCACGCTGCATAATTATTATGACAATAACTATGAAATATGCTTTTATTAAATACAACCAATGTTATCAATAAATAGTTAAAATACATTATTTTTTTAGAAATGATTCACCTGCCTGAACTATTTTTCACATCCTCAGGAATACCACAGGTAGAAATAAGCAAGCATAATATTATTAAGAAGAAGTGTCTGAAAATAATAGTTGTCGGCAGAAAAAATGGCAGTATTTTTCTATCTGAGACAGTCCTCCTTAAATTATGTATGAAATGCAACTTCTAGTTATGGTATTAACTATAAATTAGGCCTTTATTAAATACAAAACATATTTGTAATGAATTGTGAAAGAAGGTTTACTGTAAGGAAACTACTTGTGCAGAAGTATTTCAGATAAAAATCAATACGTGGGCATTATTTAAGCGGAAAGTATAAGCTGATTGTTTTTTAATTGAGAACAGCAAAACATAAAAGAGTAAGGATGTTTTTGAAGAGGACTTTCTAAGGAAAACTCATTTGTACTCATGGATAGAAAACCAAGAAGATACCCAAACATTGTTCCCAGAATTCAAACCCATATCAATATAACCACTGTTCAAAATAAGTCTTAACTACTCAATTACTGCTAAGCCAAAAATTTAATTGCTTTGCAGTTATATTGTAATTCTAAACGTTATTATGTTAAAACTGCAATTATAGCTGCATTAATTATAATTTTAACTAACATAACTACAGTGATTAACTAACGTAACTACAGTAATTAACTAACATAACTACAGTAATTAATGTAACTACAGTGAATCACTATCTTTATTCAGTCAAAAAATAGCTTAAATATTGAAGAATAATGAAAGATGTTATGCTTTGTTGAATGATAATATTCTGAGAAGATGCTATATGCGAGGGCACAAGAAAGTTAAATTAAGATCTTATATTTCACACACTGACAGCACTTCCTGAAAGCTACTTCTAGATTATTTACATTTAATTCATTCAGCAGTTTCAGAGGCATGATTGTATGTTTGTTTTCCGAGGACAAAATTTTTTTATCATAAGTAAAAATAATGTGCCTCCTTCAAGTTGTAAATAAACCATAAATGCTAACAAGTTTAACTGGAATTGCATTGTAATTCTAGTTAATGTACATAAAACAGTACAACTTCGGTTATAATTTTATTATAGTTGTTAAGTGTAGTGTAATTTATAAATTGTGTAATTAGAGTTGCATTGCATTATCTGCAGTTACAATTATATTATAATTATACAATTTATAATACAAGTGCATTGTAATTGCCAATGTATAATTGCAATTAGATTATAACTGAAGGATTTCAAATTACATTGTAATTACTTTAATTGTACCTGCAATTACATTGTAATTACAATTATATTGTAAATTGAAATATTCCCAAATCTCATGGAGAATAATGGAGTTTATAATTACATTTTAATTGAAAGATTTGAAATTATAGTTACTATGTAAATACTTTAATTGTATTTGCAATTACATTTTAATTCTATGTAATTGCAATTACATTGTAACTGAAGTATGCCCAAATCTAATAGAGAACCATTGTAGCACCATGTACTGCAACTGAATTTATATGAGTATGCCTGAATTTCATGAAGGCATTGGCATTTTGTTGGAGTTTACTCTTTTTGTGACTGTGCCATTCGAGATGGGTCCTGCAGGCTTTTGAATGCTCCGAGGTTCAGTCTTCGTGAGACATTCAGTGTGCTGCAGATTTGAGTATCCATAATCACATTTTCCAGAATGTTGAGAAGAGGATCATATGATTGAAATTGGTTTTGCATGCATGTTCATGAGCAGACTGGCATCAGTCATTAGCCAGGAAATCATACTTAGCCATCACTTTTACATTTGAAATGGCAGGTTGCCCAGGCCTAGGCACATTGTTTATATTATCACATTTCTGCCTATTTTGTGTATTTGCTTCTTTATGCATTATTGTAATGCATTTGCACCTCAGAAAGCTCACCCTTCGAAAATTTCAAGTAACACTCCTTGTGATTTTACATTCTCAGTTCTAAGTCAAGAATGCTGTAAGTTGAGAAACATTTTTCTTCATCGATTAGCAACTCTGCACTGTCTGTGTAACATTAATGTGCTTTCATAGCAAGAGGAAGGATAAGGATAATTATTTATGGCTGGAAGCAGAAGGTTTATTTATTCCAATCCTGTCAAGATCACTTATAATACCACTTCCAGCTGGTTGCTGTGATCATCATTAAATTTTCATCCACCACTTCCAGCTGGTTGCTGTGATCATCATTAAATTTTCATCCATTGTACAAGTTATTTAAGAAGAAATCCTTGCCAAGAGAAAAATTAAAAGCTACATTACAGAACTGAACTGAAATAAGAAGTCAGTAAAGTTCTTAATAGATCAAATATTTTTAAAGTATTTATGTGAACATAACAGGAAAAAGTACTATTAACATGGGAAATAAAAAATGGTTAATTTAGCAGTAATACTTGCAAGTAGCAGTTACTGAATTGATGGGAAGCTTTGCATAGTTGTGCAGTAATTGGCTTGAATGAGCTTGATTTAGAGAAATTTTACTATAAGAAATAAATTCCTTAATGCCAGAATGGGTGAAAAATATAGATCTATTAACTTTTGAATCAGCTTAAATTTTGCTTAGTGAGTTGATATAAATTTAAATTAAGTCACTGATCATCATAGCATAGACAGTTTTATTGCTTATGCATGTTCAGCTTTATACAACTGTAATTATTTTCTTTGAATAACTTTTTTCCCTGCAATTTCATGTTGCAGAATAAATGGATTGCTAGTCAACTCTTAATTCTTGTTTCCAATGTTAATGATACTTTTGCATGCTTTGTAAAACAAATACTTGCAGTATTAGCAACAAATTCTTTGTTTAAAATTGTCTTCTAAATAAGACTAAATTTTAAAGATTATTAGCATTGAACTAAAAATTTCATTGTCATTGTTTTGTTATTATTGTAATTTTTTTCTTGTTTGTATTTCTTGGTTCTTTGTCTTTAGTATAATACACAATGTCCTTAATATAATACACATTTTAAAACTGGAAAGTGTTTGTGAAAAGCAATTTTATTTTGCTTTCAGCTACGATTGGTTCCTTCAGCCTTAGAAAATCCTCTATTTTCTCAAACTTTTGAAGAGTCTTATGAGGTGTATAAAAAATATCAGATGTCTGTTCACAAGGATACTGCTGAAAAGTGTTCAAAGAAACAGTATAACCGTTTTTTGGTGAACAGTCCTTTTCAGGTAAAATTTTAAAAAATTCCTGAAAGTAAATCTTATTCTTCATCAGTGCAAACAGGATCTTTTAATGAAAGTAAATTTTTTGTGCATTAACCTGTGAGCACATGTGTTCTATTCCCTCATCCTTAGTTTTGATTTTCATTTTCAGTTTTTCTCCTTGTCACCTAAATTTATGCATCAGAATATGTTACCTTGAATTTTCGTATTCATCAGTTTGATTTTCTCATGGGTATATTTTTTGTTTGTATATTCATGATGCAAAATGATATTTTTTTAAGTGAAGCATATTTTGCTAATGTAACACTTAGTGCTTTTCTTTGGGGGAGGGGGTGTTACATATTGCCTATAATGCTTTTTTAGTGTTTTGATGCATTTAGAAGTTTTAAATTTGGAATTTTTATTTCAAAAAGGATCTCCCTTGTTTGCTATCTGCTTCTTCTTTTTTTTTTTCCTTGCTTCAAGTGTAATACTTGCAGCTGCTGAAATAAGGCTTTTTTGTAGATGGAGGCTTGAATTTCGAAATTGGGCAAAATTTAGATTCTGAGTTTGGTGCAAGTTTTGTTGAAAAGCTATACGCATTTGATGGAATCTCACAGAAGTATTTCTTCAAGGAGAAAACACATTTGTTTTCATTGTGTAGTTGTTTTTGAATGTATTTTTTAATTTTTCTCTGAAGAATTTTGATTTGGAGGGATAAAGCATATGGTATTTTTGATGTACAAATAATTTGGTTAAGAATTAAATTTCAAAATATATACAAATTAGCTTACACAGCACTTTCCAGTTTAATTTTGTTTTATAATTTTTCCTGAGCTATTCTGTGAGTTTTTATTTTATTTTCACTATTCAGTTACGACTTGTACGCTCAGATTTTGAAAATGACATATTCATATCTACTATGGAAGAGTCACATGCTGTGTATAAAAAATATCAAATGACTATTCATGATGACTTAGAAGAGGAATGTAGTCTTGATTCTTATGGAGATTTTCTTGTTGAAACACCCCTCGAGGTACTTTCTTTGTTTCTGACATTACTGAATTACACTAATTTATTTTATTTATAATATATTTGCTAAATAAATTTTAAAAAATGTGTATTTATGCATGCAGGATCTTCACTTAAATTTTGGAATTATTTTCCCTTTTCGGTTATGTGAAGGCTATATTAAATCTTTGAGTGCAAGTGAGAAAAATACACATATATCATTTTTATTTTGTACTTTTGCTATTTCTGTATAACTTGACTGTTATCTAAGATTGTATATGTATATTGTCTTATATGTGTTGTATGTGTAATATGCAATTGTATGCATGTATTCTCTTGAACAAGCTCAAGTTATTTTATTTAATGTATGTTGCTATTTTAATAGATAAATAAATTTAAATTAAATAATTTTTATTAGGTAATAATTATATTTATTTCATTATTGCATGATTATTAATTGTTCTCTTATTTGTGAATTTTTAACATTGACTTAATTTGTAGGGCATTTTTTATATTGTGATCCCTTCTGTATATTTTCATTTTCAGTTATGGAACACTTTTTAGTATATATTAAAATTATTTTTTCCTTTTGATTATTATAGTTTATAGAGAAGAAACAATAAATCTTCATAAGTAATTAAGAAGGGGCAAGTAGACTACACATGGATTCGGAAAGTACTAATGAATCAATAACACTGTAAAAATAATATTGCCTTCCCAATTTTTAAATATGTTGCAGAACATATAATTCTGGAATGATAATAGCGATCTATCTGTCTATGTCAGGGGTTCTCAATTGCGAGGGGGGATTCCCCTCTGGAGTAGAATTTCATAGTGTCAGGGAGGGGAGCTGTGATCAGCCTTTTATTTACCTGTTAAGGTATGTAATCTGTAAGTATGCCTCTAATGTTGACCAAAGAGGTAAAGTTATAAAGGGAAATGGCACCCCAGACCATAACCAGGGCTGTGGAGTTGGAATCAGAGTCAGGCAGATTTTGGGGTAAAAGGAGTCGGAGGTGAAGTCGTTAAAAACAGGTCGACTCCAGTTTTTGTTGGACAGTTTGAATTTGAAATGAAATTAAAATGAATTGAAAAAAAAAAATTAATGACAAGCTGAGTTATTATTTTTATTTATGGACTAATGAAGTCCATACATTAATAAATAGTTATTTTCTATTTTATTGACATATTAATAAATAAATATAAGGGAGGCAGATGGATGTGATATTTGCCATTAGTGATTAAACTGATTCATTTAGTTACAAATTTCACTGGTAAATTTAGGTAAGTAGCAATAGCAGCAAGAACTCCCAAAATTGATGCCATTCTTAGAAAGCGAGCAGGGAAAGGAGCAATTATTCATCAAGCAACGTGATAAGGAATTAAATATTTGATGATAAAGAGATTGTTAGAATTAAGAACGTTTTTAGAAGATTGGATAACCCTAATGTTTCGTAACAGAAAGACTGTGAAATGATCTTGCAGAATTGGAAACTCTTCTTTCTACACCGTATATAGCCACAAAAATACTGCAATCTGAAGAATTGATGGGAGGCGAGAATGAAAGAATGTGATGTTTGTTCTTTCTGAAATGGAGGATTTATTTCAGAAGGAATCATTTCTTAAATGAAGAAAAGAGAAACTAGTTTGCTAGACAATGAGATCTTGCTGAGTTCAATGTATGTTGATCTGAAACACCGAATTTTCTTGGATGACAAACATATTAAAAAGGCAAAGAAAGCCATATATGAATTTTCATTAAGAATGAAATTATTCTCGGAACAATTGAAGTATTCGACAGGACAGTCAAATTGCAGACATTGCAATTGAGTCTCTACCATCCTCTTTCAGTGATAAATTAGATTTTGAGAAAAATTTTTGGACAATATTGAAAAGGCTAAGGCAAAGCAAATGAAAATAAAGAACCAAAAGCCTTTAGATATAAAAATGAAGAAATACAAATACAAACAAAATTTCTCCATGGCCTTTGAAGAAATAGAGAAATATGATTGTACTTGCAATACACCTCTTTTAGAACTTATAAAAATCTATCCTGAAAAGTTAACACTCCATCATGATGTTATCCAGCAGCTGCAAGCACTGTGATCCAGCAGCTGCAAGCACTGTATCTGTTAGATACATATCTATTTTACATGTTTTCTGGTGACCTGTATTACTTTAAATCTTCTATTTTTATTCTTTTTAAGTCCAGACTTTTTACATCCAGACCTTTCTTTCTTTTTTTTATTTTTAAAATTTTTTATTTATTATTTACAATCACTATTACACAGGTTAAAATGCCGTTTAAAAACACATACAATAAAACATGTTAGTAGAGTTGAAAAAAATTTTTAAATATGGCAGTTGTTCACAAATAATTAATATCACATAAAAATACATAATATAAAATGACAAAAATAAATCAGTTATTCTTTAATTTGATTCTAAATTTAAGTTTGGTTTTCATTTGAACCTTTCTGACACATCATTACTGCATGTTCCTAACAAAAATATTCGCACATCTTATGCAGGAATATTGGGTCAATCTACTTTTCTTACTTGTTTGACGTGTAGAGCATCTTTTGAGTTTCCTTGTATTGCGAGCGCAATTATAAGTTCCACACATCTTATCCAGAGCATCAACACCGCATTTTGTAGCATTATAAAATGTGATTATATCTCGCTTTTTTTCATCTCCAGTGTCTGCATCTATAGTATAATCAAAGTGCATACTTGATACAAGCAAAACATTTTTGCCTTTTATCGGTATGTATGAAACTAAAGTACAGTTTTTAGAAAAACCAAATAAGCTTGAATGTACTTTTTTTCCTTTAGATTTCGCAAAAACAGGGAGGTATTTCTTTGTTATTTTTTCTTAATGTTCCAACGTAAGAAAGTTTTTTTATCTTTTAGGGCTTTTACAACATCAATAGAGGTAAACCAATTATTTGCTGAGATATTGTGACCGCTGTTGAAAATTGGTTCAGATAATCGCAGAACAACATCTAGTGGGGAATTACTGACACTAAATGCGCCTTCGGGCTGTTTTCCGGCATATATTTCTAATTTCAATGTATAAAGCGTTTTAGCATCAACTGCTGCAAAAATTTTAATGCCATATTTATTTGGTTTTGATGGAATGTACTGGCGAAAAGGGTTTCTAATTTCTCATCTATCGTAACATTTTATCCCATGCTATAATTACACTTACATTTTCCCACAAATTTTTCTAATAGTTGCTAATTTATCTGTTTTCCTTCTCTCGTTCCTCGTCTCTTTATCATCAAATCTACAGCATCTTGGAAGAAATTTAAATTGCTTCAGACTCATTACCCTTCTAAACATCTCAATACCCATTCCATCAGTAGACCACAGTTCTTCCAAAATTTGTCGATTACTTCACAAAACGCCAGCTAATAAAAGTAAACCTATAAATGCTTTTATTTCAATGATATCTGTTAGTCTTGCATCTCTTTCTCTATTGTAGAAATTGTAGAAATGTATTTTTTAGTGTATTTCGCAATTTTTTCCAATATTTTCCAATGGGGGGGGGGGAAAGTTCCAAAAGTCGTATATAGTTTTTGTACCTTTCGCATTTCCGATTACTCCAGGTTGTGGTAATATTCTGCGATCTAACTTTGACATTTTTTCTTCCGGGCGATTTCGCCCATTTAGTGCTTTTGTCTTTTCCTACATAAAAATCACCATTGTTAGCATCATCATCAAGTTCTGAGTCATTATCATTATAATAACTTTCAATACTTTCAGAATCCACTTCAAATGTTTCTAAAATATACACTTCTTCATCACTTTCATCAACTTCTTTAGCATTTAATTCCTCATTTCCATCCCTGAACAGAATATTATGGACTAGTTCAAGGTCTTTTTGATTATTCAAATCTAAAAAACGTTTAGCACTCGTAATGGGAAAAATAAATCAAAAATCTATAAGAAATCTCGATACTTCCATAAAGCTTCAGGAAACAAACATTATCAGGCGTGTGTATCTGACAGATACAAATTTTTAAATAAGCTTAAAAACAGGAAATACTCCTACACTGAACTGGTCGTTACTGCATTCCAAAGGAGGGGGTGGCCAGATGGACAGATACTGATAAGGTCAAGGTCGTGAGAAGAAGTTTAAGGGGACAAAAACAGAGATTTTGACACGCCTCTATCTGTCGGATCAATGCGCCCGATGGAGTGTTAAAAGAAGTAGCCAAGTAGCCCTAACAGTAACAGCTCATCCTCAAGTTAGTGTGGAAAGACTCTTCTCAGCTCTGAAGTGTATGAAATCGAATCCATGGCACTCTGGCAAAGAAGATCATGCCCAAGCTATACTGTTTCTTAGAAATAACAAAGGCCAGCTTTCCCGTTTTATAATAAATGCTAATTAATATAAATAAACAATTTGATATGCCATCAATTTTCTTCTGTAGCATCTATTACTTCTTTTATATTAAAAAAATAAGCTATTACTCATGTATATATGTTTACACATATACTAAAGAATGATTATATTATCTCCTAAGATTAATTTTAGTAGAATTATCTAAATATTGTGAACCCATAGTAAGTTTTAATTCCGAAAATTGTTTTAAAGTAACTTGAATGTAAATTGTTAAAAATGTTTAACGGGGACTTAAATTAAATCATGAATAACAAAATTTCAATTGTAAAAAGAAATTAAATTAAAAGCAAGTAATCATTGCCCAGATATTTCTTACGTCTAATTACCAGTTCGCTTTACATTTTCTTTTTCAATTAATATTGATATATACATATATATACAGTCAAAAGTCTAATTTGGACTCGTCGGGACTTCGGCGATTGCGGATTATAGATCATCAGTTTAAATCTGGTAAGATGGCATGCAGAAATTATAAATTAAAAATATGAAACCATAATTATGAAATAAAGGCATTATGATCTAAAGGATATCAAATTTACAAAAAAAAAAAAAGCTTGATATTTATTTGGTTACTTTATTAAACATTTCTTTCAATGCACGCATGCGTAAAGCATACATTACGCATAGTTGAAATTAGAAAATTGCAACCAGAAAACTATTTGACGTGTATTCGTGATATTTATAATGAGGAGGAATTTGATTTAAATCATATCAAAGACGGAGTACATCGAGATGAAATACTACATTTAGTAAGGAATTATAAGCTGAATAAAATAAAAACATCTGCCCTGAAGATAAGAATAGTGCTGACAGATCAACTTCCAGTTCATAGTGTGCCGCGACACCCCCCCCCCATCCAGAGCAGCACGAAATTGATAAACAGATTTCGGAATAGTTAGAGAAACAAATCACCTCTCTGTCACTTTCGTCATTCCTTTATCCATTTTTTGCAGCAGTTCCACTTTTTGTTTGATGTACATCGAAACAAGCTTTCGCTTTGTAGATCCTTTGGCAGCTCCAGAATAGGAAATTGTTTTCGACGTAATCGAAAGTTCAAGCTTACTTTTATAAAATTTCTCTAACAGTCTGCAAAAAATAATAAGCCGGATCCAATTAGAAAATTACGGAACAACGCAATATGCAACATTAACTGAAATAGATAATTAGATAATTTTAGCTTAGCTTATACCATCCGTTTCGTAGACGCATTATGCGTTTACGCATGCGCAGAAAGTTTGTAGCTTTGAGGTCTGTATTATGGATGTCCAGATTAAAGACTTTTGACTGTATATATATATATATGAGGGAGTAGGAGTCAGAGTCAGTCATTTTCCTGACCGACTCTAAAGCCTAGTCCATAACAGCTGGTTGAAGGTCTGTGTGGCATGCAATAGTGAAAGCAGGATTGAAACTCTACTCTGGGCGTCTCCAGACACGTCTTCAATGATCGTCACAGCACAGTTGGAAGTGGGATTTATCGCTGAAGACCTAAACGTCCTCATTCAGCATCATTCCAACCTGATCGAGCCAAGCACCACTGTAATTTGGCTTGACAGTGTGTAGGCGTGAATGGCAGGTGGCGTAACGGTCGGTATGAGCACAGATTTAGCACTATCACCCATCTCTAAATGGTCATGGTGGACACTAGTGTGCGGCTTGCATGTCTAATGGCTGATAGCGATGAATCAAGTGCTGTGATAACTGATATGAAAATCACCCTGTCCTCCCAATCTGTTGTGCCCCTAGGTCGACCACTACTATCACGGCAGTTAAATCTGCCATTGTCCACCAGCATCTTCTAATCACCTCATCGCTTCAACTCATATGACGAGCCATTCTCCAGTTTGCCTCTTTCAATCCAATGAGACTACCTCTTTCAAACCCTGACAGTTGCTCGTAATGAGCTCAAATCCTGCGGCGAAACATTTTTTTTCAGTTAATGAAAGGTAGCCTAAATCACAATGCAACAGAAATTTTTGCCAACAGTTCAAGAACAGCTCCTTATATACATGTGCTGGATGAGTTCCAGTGTGCTGGAAAAAAAAAAAAAAAAAGAGTGAGAGAGAAAAAGGGAACAACAATTTGCCATTTTAGCATCAAGATGATATGTTATTCAGTAGATGTGAAATCAGCGATGAACTTTGGCAAAATCTTTCAGTTTGAGATGTATCATGCTGAGCAAAAAGACTGCTACAGAGCCAAATTAGTGATCATATTCATTTATGCTATTAGATGGTTGTATTTCTTCGACATGGAGGTCCTTTATTTAATGCCAAAGTGAAATTAAGAAACAAGACCCTCCACATGCTTTATTATAAAAAAAATGTCTATTGTGCATCCTTGAAGCATTAAGCATATATTAAAGTGAGCTGCTACTCTTGAAAAATTAATTCTCTTTTTGTCTCCTCCTGTCTTCAGAAAATTTAAGGAACAAAAAAAAAAAAAAAAAAAAAAAAAAATGCCGGTGATCTGGAGGTCTAGATATTTGACCATTCCAGATATCGAACATCCAGATTTCAGACTTTGTACTATATTATTCATTCATAAAATGGCAGTATATAAATTTTTTGTGATTAGCATAAATACTTTTGAAATGCTGTCTTTATATGACATACTGCATAGTAGTGTAAGCTCTGTTTAAATCTGCTGAATATTTTGAGCATGTTTTTTACATTTCAGCATTGTGATGATATTTTGTGTCGGAGTGGCTATGGATCATTTCACCAGCAATATTGGTTAGACAACAAATTGATAGCTGTTGGTGTCATTGATATTTTGCCTTATTGTGTCTCTTCTGTATATTTCTATTATGATCCCAGTTACAGTTTTTTGTCTTTAGGAACATATGCTGCTTTGAGGTAAATTTTTTAATTTTAGAATTGTTGCTGTATAATTTTGTTATTGTATTTCGTTAAAAACCGTAATCCATTTCTTAATAAAACATTTTCAAAAAAATTATTTATCTGACAATTGAGTGGTGCATTTAATAATGCTTGTGTATAAGTTTTTAAAATTTTTATATATATATGAACTTTTTGAAATATTACCGTATATATAACCATGTATAAGTAAAAAATTTAAAGAAAGAAAAAATCAGACTTGAAGTAGAGGGTCAACTTATTGTTGTTGGTGAACTTGATTATTAAATATGTCGCTGTTACAGAACAAACACAAAATTCTGTATTTATCTTGCTATTTATTTTTATTTTTTTTTATTATTATTTCACTTCATCATCTGGCTTCACAGACCAATTCAATCTGTACAATATCCACGAGGCAGTCTTTAGTTAATATAACTGTATCGTATCAATAACTGTAACCATACTGAATAAGTCATTGATTACATCTTATGTATCTTGATCATACACATGCTTTTTTACTTTTCCTTCTTTTCATAATGTCTGATTTATCGGAATCTATAAAAATGGCTGTTTCCAAAGCCATATACTCCTTCCCACATACCCCCAGTGAGATATGTGAAACAAAAGAGAACATCAGACACTGCGAAATTAAAGCTGAAAGTAGCCTCATTTGCAGAAAGTATGAACAACTGTGTTGCATCACATTAGTTTGGCATGAATGAGAAGATGGTCTGTGACTGCAGGAAAAATGTGTATATTAAAGAAAACCCCTAAATCTAAGAAGGCCCTTTGTCATAGATCAGCATCTGTCCCAGAACTATAAAAAATCTTAAGTGACTGGGTTCTAGACAGCAGATAGCACAGTTATGTCGTAACCCAAACTGTGATATGTTTGAAATCTATGAAACTTGTGAAGCATGAAAAATTTCCTCCTGTAAATAACTTTTAGTACATCACAATGTTGATGCACAAGATTCGTGAATTGTTATGGACTATGTTTATTCCTTCGTACCAGAATTTAACAAAAATTGCCGATTCACCTTGAAGACAAATTAATAAACTAAAATAAAACTTTAAAAAATAAAAGTATGTGAATGAAAAAATAAAGATAACTAATTTTTATAATATCTCAAATAGGAAGGATGGATGAAACTCCCATGACTTTTGATCTCCCTGAAAATTTCATTGTTAATAAAAAAAAATAGAAAAACAATTCCTGTAAAAATGACTGGTCATAAGAAAACTTGTTTCACAGCAACTTACTGCCATTTACTAAACAGGTAAGAAACCTGTTTAGTAAATGGCAGTAAATTGCCTTTCATGATTATTTTCAAATGATAAATGTTACCAAAAAAGACAGCATATCCGTCAGGTGCTCTTGATAGCACTCAGAAAAATGGTTAGATGGACGATACCATAATAATTGACTGGTTTTAAAATATATGGTGCAAAAAACCAGGTGCACTTTTAGGAAAACCTCCCCTTTTGATTAGCAATATATTTCTACCACATCGTTCAGAAGTGGTAAAAAAGCATGCAGAAAGTTCAAAAGTAACACTTTCTGTGACCCCAGGAGAGCTGACATGCACTGTATAACCACTGGATGTCTGCATAATTAAGCTGTTCAAGGTGAATGCGCAACCTGTTGGTCAGAATGGATACAGTTTGATTTACCTGCTAAAACCAAAGTGGCAATATTAGAAAGCCGGGCATAATTTTAATTTCATGGGGGATAAAAAGATGCCAAAATGGTAATCATGATTCCAGCTGAAATGATAATCTAATCATTCAAAATGTTTTGCATTTCCAATAACTTAATGGCACAGAAAATGATGCTATCTATTCAAGTGAGGATTATTATACCTTATAATATGTATAATGTTTAATGTACATACAGCCTGCGCTTTCTTGCAACTATTCATTACAAGGCTATTTGGCCTTGACTCCCATATGTTTCTCATAATTCACGAGGCAGTCGAAGGGGATGAAAATCCGATGAATGGAACTGTTATGCCATTGTTTATGATCGTTCGCACAGATTTTGACGAGTCATATCATTCTTAACTTGGACGGAAATGAAATTAGTTACAACATTGCACTTAGTCTTTCATATTAATTGTCAGTAATTTAAAAGACGTTTTGAAACATATATGGAACGATAATAATTTTTTAAAATCTAATAACACAAAAATGAAGAGAGAACTCGCATACATTTATAGAGAGTCACATGGGGCTCGCGAGCCGCAGGTTGGCCACCCTGCTCTAGATGATTCTTAGTTTTGTTTTGCCAAGAAAATTTTCTTCACATGAAAGGAGAATGTCTGTTTAGTATTTCATCATAGTTTTAACTTTCTTATTTCATATTAGCAAAAGCTAACAGCAGAAAGTTAGTAGAATCATTGATTAATAAAAATTTTCTTAGAAATCAAACTCCACTGGTAACAAATAAGCTATGGACTATCAGTGTGCTCTGACATTTAACTTATGAGATTCTATTTTGTCAGGGGAGGATATTAGTGAAATTATAATTTTTATAGTGTCAGGGCATTGTGTTTTGCACCTCCAAATTATTTCATTTTGGGGAAAATAGTGACAAATCTTTTACAAAGAATTGTGCTTTATGTACGTTGCTGAAGGTTTATTGTAATGTTTTATTTTAAGTCAGCCTTGACATCTCTTCAGAAAGTATCAATGTTAGTAAACTTCTTCCAGAATAGTATGGCTGTCATTCCTTGTGGTTTTAAAGAGAGACCTTCAAGTTTTTCATCACATATCATGGTCTCAGAGTAGAATGCTAAATTTCCTGGATTTTAATTTTCAGCCTTTACAAGAAAAATGTTTCCCAGAAATAAATTAAATGTACTGAATTATTAAAACTCAGATTGTGCAAATTCTATTTCCCCAGCCTTAGTGATTTTTAAGATAAAATTTCTTATTAAATTTTATTTCATCCAAATCTACCATATACATCTAGAATTTTTATGATTATTCAACCAGTGTACAATCAATTAAAATCTTTGTATTTAATTTTATTTTACATTAATATATGATACACTGACAAATTTATCACCATAAAAGTATGTACATTAATTGTTGATTTTACTTTCTCCTTATTTTAAGTACTTTAATAAGTAAATGCTTTCCTTCTCTATTCGGGACTTTCTCAGTATAAAAGTATAAAAAAACTGCAAAATGAAGGTAGCCAAAGAATGTACAGTTTAGAATATCTAATTAAATATTTTACATGAGAATCATTTTATAAATAGTTCGGTAACTTGACTTGCGAACTATAAAGTAAATTTAAAACTATTTGGAATTCTTTCTGATAGTATTGCAGGGCAGCAGGAAAACCTCCTAAAAGCACCCAGTTTTTCATATTTCAAGGTTGGGCCCCATAGAATAGATTAACATGTTGAAAATAGGTAGAATTATTATTAGCAGGAAATGAAGATACTATAACTATAGTATAAATATTTGAACATGCAGATGGAAAAAAGATAGGTATTAATATAGCTTTTTGTGACAGTTATGAATAGGAGTTACTTGTGCCTGACTTTTTTATAAACTTTTATTATATTTAGTGTTTTTTAATTATGTAAAAAATGGAAGTGCAGAATATCATTCTGTTGTGTATATTATTTTCAGAGAAATAGCTTTAACCCGTGAACTTAACATCAGGTATCCTGCTCTTCAGCATTATTACATGGGTTTCTACATTCATTCATGTGTTAAGATGAGATATAAGGTATAATTTTTTTCATTGTTTTAATTCAATTGCAGTTCTTTCTCGCTCCAAAATCAGATATTAAGAATTATTTAAATACATTAAATATGTGAAAATATTTTATTTTGTTCATGATTGTCAACATAAAATTTAAAGAACTAAAATTTTGTGTTCTGGTTATAAAATTTGAATTTTATTAGTTAATTAACAGTATTTAAACAGATTAATTGAAATTTCTATTTTGAGCTCATTTTCATGTGTAATAATAATGAAATTTAGTCAGATTTCAGGGGGGTTGCATAGATTACCCCTCTTTTTTTGTACGATAATGAAGTACAAAAATACGCTGAAAAGTGTGCAGACATGTCTTATGTAAAAATTAGTCTGTGCTGAGAATGTAATAAAAATCTTAGTATACACCATAAAATAATAATGAATACATAATCCCCTTAAGAATTTCATTAAAATATTCAATGAAGTGCTTAATGCACACATTATTTGTTACATTGTTTTATGTATTTCATTTTATTATTTTCATTATGTATAATTAAGAATGATTCACAGTGTATTGGAGAATGAATTGGAAGTAATGCTTCAGCATATAAGACAATAAAATCAAAATAGATCTTATCCAACTATTAGAAAGAGCATATAAATCAGATAGTTAAATTAGTTATATTTTTTATAAAACAAATTTGGTGTAAAAGATAGCTTTCTGATTTAAATCACTTCCAAATAAGTCTACATTCTCTGTTCATTTAGTTAAAGTATCAAGCAGATTCAAAATTACAGAATCTGAAAGAGCATTGTAAGTATTAGTGAGTAAAACTTTTACAAATTTTGTGTTAAAAGATTGCATATTAATTTATTGGTGTTTTACTCATTAATGTTATTTTTTTTAATTGAAGTTATTTAATATTTATACATTGAATTGAATTGTTCATTGAATTCAACACATTGAATTAGTGTTGACCAAGTGAGGACCTTCAAGCTGTGTCTGTCTTAGTAGTCTATTGTATGGTTTAAATTTGTAGAGTGGCAACTTGTGTTTCCATATGTGACCATGCTGTGTAAAATATTTGTTGCATTTGGTCACACATTATATGCCTCTAAGCTGAAACTGCTAGATTTTCAATTGTTTAAAATCCAAAAGCTTGCAAGAGAACTTCTTTCTCTGTGTAAGGAATCCTGCTTTCGACTCCATTAAAATGAGAATTTAACAGTGAATATGTATTGTTTGGAGCTTTGTGATTGACTAAAAGCTGTAAAGCTGTAGCTGATTTGTTGCTAGAGTAACAAATTATTATTATCATATATTTGTAAACGAGTAGTTCATATAATTTTAATTATCATATATTTGTTAATGAGTAATTCATATAATTTTAATTATCATATATTTGTTAATGAGTAGTTCATATAAATTTTAAATAGAATAATCATTGGCACCCAAATAAGGTTATAATCAATTGATAGCATATTTATTTTTAGTACTGAATTATGAAAGAAGATTTTAAATATGTGATGCTAGTTAGAATGTTTCGTTGGCCTTTGATTAGTTTGAATTGGCCATCATTGCTTTAAAAAGTATAAATTTTTCCAGATTAAATTAAATTTCAGCTCATGTTTTTTTTTGTGCTTTGTGTTACTGAAGGTGAAAGTTGGATTTTATGTTTTTCCAGGGCCAGTATTTTCCCTCCTTTTTACTGTGCCCAGAAACATTCATCTTTCAACCAATTGAAAAATGTAGGCCTAAATTAGATGTAGCAAAGTATCAGCGTTTGGAAGAAGATTCCAGCAAAGGTATATAATATAAATTTTTATTTGCTAATTTAATAATTATTATGAGGTATATTTAATAATTATTATGAGAAGCAGTTTTTGAGTTCTTTCTTTCCAAATTTTTGTCATAATATAATGCTTATATTCTAAAGTTTATTTAATTTTCCAATCTTGAATGCATAATCCACTTAAGTATTTAATTTTTCCACTTTTGAATGTTTTTTAAAATATTTTTATTTTTTTAAATTAAATTATTGTTATTAGTATTATTGTAATACCAGTTATACACCAGTTGTCCATAATAATGGAAACGGTTAAAAATATGAAGAATTGTGTCGTGTGCCTGATATGGTGTAGGGATACATTTGGCATCTAAAATTGTTCAGGAATGGAGCTATATAAGTTCTGAATGGTGGAAACACTTAATACTCTTCTACTGTCTGAAACTGCTCCAGTTATATAAGAGATACTAGGAGAGAAAAACAATATCTCATTTTGTTTTCAAGCAGTGTGAACCACTGTGTATTTAAATACAGTGATTATGCTCACTGAATTTACTGAAAATTGTGTTATAAGTTTCCAAGGCATAACTGAGTCATCACATTTAACTGCAGCTTCTACTAATCAGCTCCAGTAATTATTAGCTTCTACTGATATTCTTCATGCATATTGTCATCCTGAGGTAGGAAATAGTATAAAGATTGATTTATCTGAAAACAGTACTTTTCATAGATTCTGTATTTTATGTTCCTGGCAGCACTATAGTTTCTATTTTGCATTTATTTATTAAACAAGAGGGTTTCAGATAGCAGGTCTGCTGTCAATATTTTTCTTAGCAGTTCCCATTTTACTGTATGAATTGAAATTATGTTCTGTAGTTGCATGTTAAGCTCAACAATAACATTTTTTCTTTTAAAGGAATTTTCTTTTTGATATAACATTTCTGTTTAACATCTTTCTGGCTGTTCTGGATAAATTTTGTTTCATAACTGTGTTTCATAGATGGTGTTTTGCTAAGAATATTCTATGTTGCTGTCATGCTGTCATGGATATAATACCTTTCAATATCCCCAATAATTTTACAGATGTAGTTGCAGATGCACTACCAAGCTGGGTAATAAAAATCTGCCAATTTGAAATTCTGTTATGTCAGTTATTTTCCTTCATTGTAAAATTTAAAAATTATTATTGAAATTTTTACAATTTTAAACAATCTTAAAAAATACGTCTAAAATAATCATATAAAATAAGTGACAGCTGCTTTTATGGATTACTGTGTAGACAGAGCGAAACAAAATGAACTTTTTGAAACATGTTTCCATTATTTTGGACAACACCTTTATAATAATTACAGTAATTTATTACATCATGTTAAAATTGAAGTGCTTTTATTGCGAAATATCCTGCATAAGTTTTTCTACATTTTTTTTCCTTTACTTTTCTTTTCTTCCCCCCCCCCACTTCCTAAATTATAGCAGGGAATAAATATAATAGATTTAGAGTGGTGTAGACAACTTATTCCTTTTTATACTTTTGGTGCATTTTGCCGTCATTCAGAAAAATGTTTTTGGTTTAATAATTTCTAAAGGAATATGAGATGAAATGATTGTGATTATGTTAAGGATACAATAGTTCTAATAATTTTTTTATAACTCCCAATTTCAATTTTAAGTTATTAGAAACTTTTTTCTTATTTCAAGACTGATATATGGGGAAAAAATATTGCCAAACATTAGAAAATACACTAAAAAAATTAGCAACAAATGCTAAAAGAAAAAGTAAATAAATTCAAATGTAAATATGGAATATACAATTTACATATGAGGTAGAAGTTGCATCACCAAATATAAGTAGGCAACCAAAATTAGCATAAAACGCAATCCCGCAGTCGCACAATAACCCCTTAAAAAGAAGCATGCTGGGCCTATGTATCAGTTCGCAAGCAACGATAATTCCATATATTCTGAGACAGTCAGAGTGGAAAGCAGTAGCCAAAGACACCATTTGCTCAATGAAATGTGTTGGAGTGCTGTCAGGATGTTGCAAGCTGGTGCAAGGTAATTTGCTGTTGCAGGAGAGCTGAATGTGCATTGTAATGTCATCAATAGTCTATGAAATCATTATCAAAGTGATCAAAAGCCCTGTAGAAGACATGGTTGTGGATGCTAGAGGATTACCACAGTAGTAGACAATTGCTTTCTGTAGCTATGTGCAAGATGCGGTAGATCACTAATTAGCATAACACTAATTAGCTCTCTGCTGCTGTAGGATGGCCCAAATCCGTTGACTGCATGAAAGTGAACTATAAGTCTAGTGTGCTAACTTCATGAAAGTGGAGTATACATCCAAAAACCTGTGTTTATGTTCCTTTTTCCCCATTGCATGTCAGAACACAATTGATTTGGGCTATTGAACATCGTAGTTGGATGCAAGAGAGTGGAACCATGAACTTTTTACATACGAGTCCTGATTTGATATCCAGAGCAATAGGGCAGTAATATGGCAACAGCCACGGACATGCTACTAAGCACCAAACATGTCGAAAGAGACCATTACAGAGGAGGAGGCTTACTTGTATGGGCTAGGAGAGTAACGAATAGCCACACCAACTTCTGTGTGGTTCCTGATAGTTGCATCACAGCTGTCCGATATTGTGACGAAATTCTACACCCTCTTGTGTGTCCTTTTATTTCTACAGTAGGTTCCGATGCAATATATATTAACAGTAACTTCTGCCCACATAGAGCTCAAAATGGTGGGGATTTATCTGGAGAATGAAACCATTTCACATCTGCTGTGGCCTGCTAGATCACCAGACCTGAATCCCATAGAGCATGTGTGGGACATATTAGGACAATGAGAGCAGGTTGTAGGAATCCTTCACGAGCTCCAATATGCATTACTACTGGAATTGGCACTACTGCTGTAACAAGCAATCAACAACACTGTTGCCAGCTTGCCTTACCATTGTCAAGCATGCATTTCAGGTGGAGGGTATCGTACCCGTTATTAGCAAGATGTTCCCATTGTACATTTTACTAACCCATTTGGTCTTTTGTGATTTGTTAGTTGTTATACATGTGTATGTCTTTGCTTTATTGCTTGGTATGTTGTCTAGTAATGCCACACTAATTTCTTGAATCAATGTAACGTGTGTCCATTAAATACTTTTTATATTATTCCATGTTTTGCCTTTGTTATTATTTATTTAGCAGGAGTACATATTTTTTGCTGATTAACCAGTAATCTCTGTTATGAAGTGGCAAGCCTTAAAGAATAAGATTTCAGTTTTAGTTTTATATTTACTATCTAGCTTTTTCATAAACTAAAGAAATATGTATTTTTATATATTTTTATTTCAAACTAAAGAGAAGCTCAAGCTAGACTACTTTCATATGTATCCTTTACCTTACCAATATACACCAGAGGGTAGCGTTAATCTTGCAACATATTGGATTCATTTCGTGTAACCTGTAGGAGTATATATGAATGCACTGTATATTTAATTTGTAGCACAAAATTAAATTTTAATGCTTCTTGTTTTAATCTCTGCTTGCCATTAATCTTTAATCTCTGTTTTAATTTCTGAGTATTATCTTTTTTAAGAAAGATCCATTCATAAAAAACTGCAAAGTAAGTGATTAAAGTATATTTTATTTGATTTTTACATCTAAGCAGTACCTAAAATTAAAAATTCTCCCCTTTTTACTACTATTTGCTCAATTTCTTTGACGTTTGTATGATATTGTAGTCTCTGCATCATATGTATATATATATAATTTATCAAGCAAAGCAGTAATATATATATATATTATGAATACACATGAGACTTAACAGTCTAGGTGTTATTTGTTAAGAGTACATAGTAAAATTCTTTTCTTTCTTTATAGGAGACCCTGACGGAGTAGTAAATTTGAAAGAAGTATTGATTCTTTTTAATAAGAGACCAATGATTTATCCAGTCTATCGAAATTTAAATAGGCATGCCAATGATGAAAATCTTGTGAAAGAGTATGCAGGATTGGTTGGCAGGAAATGCTACCGAAAAATGCTACTGTATAGAAATTAACTTTTTCATTTGTAAATGCTTTCATATTATGACAGCATTTAAATTTCCACATTGGAAATATTTTTATAGCAGCTGGTGTATTATTTCAAATTGCTATGTGCTTAGCACATCATGCTAGACATATTAATTTAGAAGTCAGACAACAAAATTTCAGCGTTATATTTTCAAATTTTCACATGAAACTAGTCCTGTGAAAATTTGAAAATATAACACTGATTTTTATTGTTTGACTTCTAAATTAGTACTTGTTTGGCATGTGATGGTATCATAATTATGTTAGACGTATATTAAAAGTCATTTAAAAATAAGGAGATTTGTAGTTATCTTGTGAGAATTTGACATTTTGCACAATTAAAACATCTTTAAAGGTTAAAAAAATGATTATATCTAATCTTTTTGCATCAGTTATCACATTTACAATATATCAATACTTTAGTGCAGCAGTTCCCAAACTTTTAGGCCGAAGAAACCCTTTTGCTAAATTTGGTGACTTCTTAACATTTTGGAAATTACAAGAGTAGTTTGTATACAGAATTTTGAATTTGGAGATTTATGAATTTTTTGATTTTTTTTTTACAAACATAATAACATGGGAAAATAGTATCATAACAAATAATGATGATTTATTAAAATTATATTTAAAAAATAATATAAAACATTTTTATTTTCTCATGCTATATTTAAAGTAACATTATTTTCCATTTTTGTAACTTATGGATATTTTGATTCTAAAATATAAACAAAATAATAAATGCTGTGAAGCACAGCTTCTGAAACACTTTTAGGAAAACAAACCCCCGAAAAAAGTACTGTAATTATTTTAAAATTAATTTCATTTGTTATATTTTATATTTTTTCATGACAAAAGTTTTTCCCCCAACTAATTATTTCAGAATATTTAAATGTGTACTAATTTTCTCTTGCAAATTCACTTACAGTCCCCCCCCCTGCCAAAGTCTTCTGGCTTTTTTCTCTTACAGAGTTGGTAGAGATAATTTTTCTTTCTGATTTTTTAACTTGCACTTCGGAAAGTTTAGAAGTATTTGAAGACAAGACAATTCTGAAGAAGATTTTTGCAATTCTAGAAAATTGTCACAAAAGGAAAACTGTGTTCATTGTATTAATACATGATGCATGTATTTTGTAGGAAATTTGTGATTATTCTTTTCTTTTCTTTTCTTTTTTTTTTGGGGGGGGGAGGGGGAGAATTTTATAAGAACAAACCCATTTTAATTTTGTCCTTTTGATCCAATAAGTCTTTCTCTTAACATGTTTATCTTCCCTCTATTTCCTTATCTTTCTACTAGATACAAGCATTTAAGTAAGTAAAGGAATTGAAAATTGATGCTTAATTAAAATATTCACCTTACATACCTCAGTGCCACTCCTAAAGTCTATCAATTTTGCCATACCTAAATTTTGTTGCTTAGTGCTTTTAAAAATTCTGCCACACTAGCTGTGACTCCATATTGACTTTATATCATTTCATATTTATTCTCAATGTTTATGTTATTAAAGAAATAAAATTAGTTTCTTCTATACATTCTAATCACAAGCAGTTCTTTAGAATAACAGATATCGTTAATTAAATCTGAAAATTCTAAAACAAAGAAGAAATTCATTGGAAAAAAAAGTGATTTTATACAGAGAGCTATTAACAAAGTAGGAGATTAAACAGAGACTAGTGGGAAGATTGATCTGTTTATTGAAACAAATTAATTTAGAAAAGACGCTAAAGAGAAGAAAGTTCATGTAAATTAGCTAAAATATCTGGAAAATTTAAAGAAAGAAAAAAAAAAAAAAGAGTATAAATATTTTGTTGGAGCTATAAAACAAAAAAGCTTTTGATGTAGAATTGTAGTAATGTCATTTAGAATCAGTATCATAAATTATAACTGCTGTAAAATGTTCTTAGTGGTGGTTTGTCAATAGATGTTTTTAGAAATTTAAAATAATAATAATAATAATGATGATGTAAATCTGCTGTGACGAAGGATGGGGCTATGTAATTTGATTGTTTGTAACTAATTGTTAATCCATAGAAGTTATTTCTACATGTTAAAGTGAGGTATCCCCTTTCCTTAATCATTATAGTAGATGCAAGATACAGCATAGAAATGTAAATATTAATATAAAACTTTATTCTTTACAGCTAATACTTAAAATAATACTAAACAATCTATCACCTCCAGTGCTTCAGCAGTTTACTGTAATTTTATATTAAATATTGTATATTGACTGGGTTCCAACTCAAGCAAATCAGCACGAAGTTACAACACTAATTTTATGTGTGACAAACAAAGTACAGCTAACTTTCAATGCTTAAGAACCATACCATCATCAGGTATTCACATCTCTCTGATCAACAGCTCTCTTTCTGTAAACAAGCAGTTACAGTCGCAACAGTCAAGCTTCTGTTGTAAGCTATGTTGATTTTTTATTTCCTAATTTAACTTATACCAGACATAAACCTTTGGGCTGAGTAAGCGCATGATGAAATGAGGCATAAAAGAGCAAATCAATATAAAGCTCAGTGTTAGTAAAATTAAATAAAAAGTTACTAATCTTCATTAAAGTATGTGGGACTGTTATAAGTGTAAAATATAATGTTTCAAGAAATTTTATAATTTAATGCTAATTATTTGAAAAAATTAATGAAGTTGGTTTTATTCTTGAATTTATTTTATAATTAAGTTAAATATTAGATTATGTCTAAAAGTAATGCATCCTACTTACAGATTTATTTTATTCTTACAAATTGTAAAAGTGGTATTACAAAAGTAAAATTCGAATGTAGGTAGTTGCTTTAGATGGTCCCTAAAAGACCGTAATTTCCACGTGCAGAAATGTGTACAAACCCTGTATATTCCAGTGTAAGAAGTCACCTGAGCATATATTTTCAGGAATACCGTCAACAAAGCATTTTCAAATTGGAAGATCTCAAACTGGCTTAAGCTGTATTCTTTTGGTTTCAGATAAGATTTTGTACAGAATATCATTTTCATATCTTATTATTACCTTTTTAGTAACAATATTTCTGGCTACCATTTCTGGAAAATGTGAACTCTTTCGGTTACAGATTGAAAGCAGTTAGTTTCTCCTGCTCTTTGATTAGAAGATACTTTAACATCTTTCAGTAAAATCAATACTTTAACATCTTTCAGTAAACCTCTTCATCTTCTATTTTTTTTTAAATTTGATATTTTGGACTGGTAATTAATTTGTTCTTGGATGCTAATTCAAAACCATTAACAACTGTGTTGGGAAAGGCATCACTACTTAACCAAGCCAAAAAAAAAAAAAAAAAAAAAAAAAAGAGACTGACGTCACTGAACGTGGTATTCTGTTCCGGCACCGAAAAACAAATACGCACTTGCGACAGTTGAACATTGATGTGTGTTTTCGCTCATTTTGTATATGTGGACAAATAAATATCTTTCTTTCAGTGTTAAATTCTATTAAGTGCTCTATTTCTTATGAGATAGCTGTTAATTCATGGGTGATGACGATTTCTTATGAATTCAATTTCAGAGTTAGCCATTGTTTTGAAATAAAACGTATTGCATATCATAGTTTTCTAGCTCCCATTGTGGGGCATGATGAGAGTGAAATAAATTTAAAATGGAGCTTTCACAGCGAAAAATGCAATGGAAATGTCTGAAAACTTTCTTTACTTCATGTGCAAATAAAATTGATGCAGAACTGAAATCAGAAATTTCTGATTTAAAGTATTTTTTGGTTCTGGAATTGTAGCTAAAAGACAAGTTTTGTGGACTTGAAATTGCTAAAAGGAAGTAACTTCGAGAATTCTTCAAACTGAAGATGCTGAAGAGCTGTATGAAGATTTTATTTCATCTGAATCCTAGAGGGAGAGATATTTTGAACTATGTTCTCAACTCGAAAAAGCATTGTAGAATCATGCTGAATTATCCAAGAAGTGCAAGTTTAAATTTTTAGAGGTAAAGAAATTTAGCTGCAAAGCAAAAAAATTTTTGACGTTTTGGATTGAGTTTTCGAAGATTCGTCTATTCTAAATGAAGTTAAATTCTACTACATTTTGTAAGCAGTCGTTCCTCAGTCCAGAGCTATGCGAGTATGGGAGAGCTTTCTGGCAACGGCGTCAAATTATCCAAAAGCACTCCCCCAGCTTCGAGTGAGATTTTGGAAGAGAAGATTAACTTGTATGTAAGAGGTCTTTTAAGCATGGTTATGCATAGTGCAACAGTGGGCGCATGTAGACAATCTTTCTACTCTCTGTGATAATTTAGAAAACTTTGAGAAGACTGTGGGGATATCTTAACACTTTTAACTGCCTGCCCGAAGAACTATTGATTGCTAGGGAGAGGAAGTGAAATTTAGAAGAAGTTTCTCAAGCTGATGACCATTTCCTTGAAAATTTAATGAATTTTCTAAAACAAGAAGTGAAAGTAGAAGAAATGGTCGTATTAGCCGGCATGAGTTTCATTCTAATCATATTTCTAAGAAAAGATATGTATGAAATAAAAATGTAGATTCTGCCACTGCAGCTGCGCTAGTAAGTACAATGAATTCAGAGAGCTCGGTAAACGCAAAGTTGTCTTTTTTGCGAAAAAAGGCACCCAACTAAAGAATGTTTTTCTGCCAGAAATATGACATTAAAAGCGAAGAAAAAATATTAATTAAAAAAAGGGGCTAAAACATATCGAATAAACATTCTTCCAGGTACTGTAATAAAAATCACCATTCTTAATGTTTCGCACTCGCCAAGAAAAAAACTAGAAGTGACGTTATTGAAACCAATAGATTAATAACTGTACAATTAGAATAGAAAATGTTTAATTAGCGAATCTGATCGTTAAAACTAAGTATAAAAATACTGAGCTTAAAGTATGCATAATACTAGATACAGCTTCTCAGCATTCGTATGTCGGTCAAAGATTAGTAGAAAATCTGCTTTTAAAACCATTAAAGCAAATTAAATTGAAGCATGGGGGGGGAGATATATATGGTCACTTTACTTAACCTGTTCCGTCAAACTAATTTAATGGCACTACAGGGTTAGGAACTCATCCTAGTCATTGCTAGCAATCTGACGGTTAGGCCGCCTTTCTGCATTTTACATTAATCTGTAGTTTCTTGGATATAATTATTTTCATTCACTTGCTTCATTATCTCTAATATGCCCTTGTTGCAGTAATAGTCCGTGAACAGTCTATTCACAGGATGTGTGATGTAGTCGGAAGGAAAGAACTGGTCGAAGGTGCTCTGTCAGAGGGCAGGAGAGCAGGTAATGAAGTGTGTCTGCGTCTTTCCCGCGAAAACCGCAAGAACA